CTAATGAACCGGTACGTGTTTATGTACCGGAAATGTGATGACGTTATTTCGTTAATAAGTCGAGGCTTACGTGCGGAGATGAGTGAACATGTTACTGATCCGATCGTGACGTAATTAAAGAGATTTACGTTCATGGATACAGCTTGCGTTATTTAATGAGCTGTATCAAAATAAGAGATTATTTGGGGTTGGATAATATGAAAGGGTGTTCACGTACAGTGAATTTGTAAGAATTGTGGAGGAGGCGGTTGTTGCCTCTGTAAACGTAATATATTTGGCGGATATATACTTAATTAGAGCCAGTGAGCAGAGGAATATCCTACACGAAATAAGAAAACGGAAGTCTAATTGGATTGGTCATGTTTTAGCCAGAAACTGCCTTCTAAAAGAAATTATCGAAGGAAAGATAGAGGGGCGGATAGAAGTGACAAGAAGACGTGGAAGAAGATGTAAGAAGATGCTGGATGACCTTGGGGACAGAAGAGGATACTGTCATTTGAAGGAGAAAGCTCTAGATCGCATTAAGTGGAGGAATTGTTTTGGAAGAGACTGTGGACCTGTCGTCTTGACAGATTATTACTGATGATGATGATGATGATGATGATGATACTTTACGAAATAGTAACAGATTCAGTAATACACACCCTCCTTCCAGTGAGCTTGCTGATCTTCTGCTGCTTCAATTGAAGATAGTAATCCTAATTTAGTTGGTCGTTTTCAAACCAACTACAGGCATTAGAATTTATATTAATCAAACATATTCATTGATCAGAATTTATTGTGTACAATAAAAATAAAATAATTAATTTACTAAGTATCTGTTGTTAGAACCCACAGGCATCAAAAACGCCATTAGAGTCTCTTAAAGTATTTAAATCCAACTCGGTTTACACGTTCTATTTCCACAATGTCGAATGTTTCGAGAAGGTTCCCTAAAAATCATATTTTTATTCTTCTTCCCCTCCCTTCTGTATTCTGATGTATGTTTCCACAACAGTACCTACCTAATTACACAGTTCTAGTAGCATTATAGCTGCAATATTCAAAAGAGGATTAGCAGACAAGGAAACTTGCCAGATACAAAAAGCATAACGTATGTAATAACCACAGCGCAATTTTCGGCTTGCTTGTGAAAAAATTATTTCATCGAATCGTCCCAACACCTGTTCTTATAAAAACTTTTTAAATACTGTGGCATACTCTAAGAAACTTCCATAACTCAGAACTTAATCTTATTTGCTGTAACTTTATAACGTTTTCCTGCATGGCGCCGCTTCTTCAATTAGATTTATGGTCGCCTCCTGCCCCTGTCAACATATGCAGCAGAGCTGTTTTTGAGTAGTTTATAAGGGGGGAGGAGATGCTAAGCATGTCCTTGCATTCTTCGTTCAACTTACGTTTCACAGTCCTACTACTTCAGACAAACCGCCAATTTATAGATGTAAAAGCGAAGTGCATATATGCCGCACCATTATAATCCTGGAGTTAGTATGAAGTCGTTATGGCAGTTATGCTCTTGTATCTGTTCTTTATTTACTTCACATAAACACTGCGTTGATAGTGTCCCAGAATAACAGAGAATGCCGCTGAACACAAACGCCAAGTTAGGCTCCAGCTGAACTCCGAAACTGGTACATAACTCCTGCACGTACCAAGACTAGTACTATCACCACTCTACTTCAAACACTATTGCCTGAACGTGTGATATATTAAAATGTTGCTACATTATTAAGAATAATATCTTCTAGGAACTGATGCAGTGTAGTCTGGTATATGTTTATCCTGAAAATACTGAAACAAAACGCTAGAATACACAGAGACATACCCCATAGGCTCCGCTATGATAATCTCAAAATCTTGTTTTTCAATTAATTTTAGAAAGAATTAATATGACCTACAATTTCTTAAACTGCATACTATTAAACTTGTTTCTTTTAGTTTCTTGCGGTGTTGTGAGACTGAGTCCACTCGGTACGTCGTCACTACCTGGCCTATTGTACCAGCCCCGGATGATAGATGATGAGTATGGAGCAGTCTGTGGAATGAGAATTGGCAGGGGAAACCGAAGTACTCAGAGAAAAACGGCCTCAGTGCCACTTTGCCCATCACAAATCCCACATGACCTGACCTGGGTTCGAACCCGGGCCCCGCGGTGGGAAGCTGGCGACTGACCGCCTTAGCTATGGCACTGCCTTCTCTGTTAAAGCAGAGCATAATGAAGCATTAGGAAGTGGGTTAAAAGAATGTTAAAGGAAATGCAGGCTACTAGCACAAGAAATAAATCAGAAGCATAAGGCAAAAACTTTTAAATCCTATGAAAGTTTTCAGGTATCACAGTATAAAATCACTTCCAGAAGTCACATTAGAGAATGCATTACGTAGGAACAATTCACTTCGCTCGCAACTGCCGTGCGGCGCAACAACCAGTCTGTAAGTCTCACCATAAAGACGGATGTTTGTTTCACGCACCCTAAGTAGATTAGCACCCATCAGACATGCAACACGCAACAGCTCAGTAAGCCTACAAGGTGCTGGAAACCATTACGTTATTAGGACAATAATTTTATGCTAGACATTCGCCATTTTGTTTACATATACTGCACCGAGTGACACTGAAGCTTTGCTTTATAATGTTTGTTTCGTATCACTCCTGCTTTCCTGCAAATTTATACTGTGTATAGCACCAAAATGTTATCGAGTGCAGCTCACTGAGGATCGAAACAAAGACAAGTTTCCTAACTAAATTCCCTTCTTATGGTACTATGCTAACCTCAAGATGCGCTGTCTTTGAAATCGAAAACCGGGTTAAGTCAGCTCAGGCGACAACGCTCCTGACATCATTTGGGAAGTGTACAATCTAGAACAGTAGTCCTCAACTTTCGTCAGACCGCGACCCGGTAAATTCTTTTTTCTATAAGACGAGGACCCGTTACTGGGCCGCGGCCCGGCGTTTGAGAATCACTGATCCAGACATGAACTACCGTGAGATGTCTTGTGATTTTCCTTAGTTTATCCGATTATAATAACCTGTATTCGACCTTTACACTTGCTTCCACATCCTTTCGAATTTATTTACCATCCACTCATTCTACACCTTAAGGTCTCCGATACTAACATTGGCATTAAATGTACCTACTATAAATGTATAAATACTTTAATCGACAATAATAATATGTTTATTTGCAAATACACGTTCGGTTTTCACAAACTATCATCGGATGAATTTTCGTACGCCTAGTATGTCATACCTTAAAGACGAATTTCCTCTCTGATTAATACACAAGTATTTAATCCGTACCTCGCAGGAAACATTATGTCTCCGTTGCGAGAGACCGTCCGGTTAAAGCTGTTTGGGAAAATAATCGCTGTTTATTGTGAGATCCATAGGAACACAGAAATAAACTCTGTGGGCAGAATGCGGGGTTTCAGTATGTTAAAGCAAGTGGTACGTACAGTAACCACTTGGCTTTAAAGCATTAATTCTGTGAAGACATCCAAATGTTACAACACATACGCTGATCCCAGTCCAAAGAAAAACGGCTTTTCAAGCCACTTTGATGTGATACATCTGCATGATGCCCACTTCCTTACGTAACTTATTATGCACTTATCATAGAGGTTTGTGGAATAAGAATTAAAGTGCGTAACATTATATCACATTACATATAATACATTATATTATATAAAAATATAGAGGAAGAGACAATTGCTTAAACCTGTGACAATTTTATTATCTGCGCCATTAACACAGTAATCCTGATGTTAATTACGTTCTTTGATTGTTACATAATGCGTCTGTAGGAGACGTTACGTTTCGGAGCTACATGCTGCCTCCATCTTCAGGATGGGATATGGAAATAATATGACTCTGGAACGTTGATGTCATAGTTCACAGCCACGCAGTGTAATAACCCAAGAATAAAACTGATGGCAGTAATAAACTATTGCGCTTAAGAACAAAATAGGCTTCACATCAATTATAATCACACTATAGTTTCATAATGTACAAAAGTAATTATTCCATAAAATGTATTTCTTGAGCAGCGTGTTTGGGAAGTTAATCGTGTGTATTTCAGATAGCCTCTACAAACTTAAGAGCAGTTTCAATATGAATACACGTGTCATAATCAAGAGAGCAGGTTCCAAGATGTGATAATATTTTAGAATTCTGTTAATGGGGATTTCTGGTCCCGGGTTTCTTCGCTTCACCGAGTTGCTTCACTCTAACACTGCGAAAATGCAGACAGCCTCAGACAGATTCTCCAGCAATATCTCCCGACAAACAATTTTAATCACTTTCATATTACATATAAGGCTAGGATTGCCTCTAATTAACACCCATAGAATTATTAAATAATCTATGCATCACTGAATTTAATAATTACAATGCAATGATACTGTCACGTGTTGGGTGTTTGTAACGCGACAAATAACTTCACTGCGAAGTGATGAAAAATAATTATAACATTTTCGTAGGAGAAGCTGAAGAGAAGAGCATTTAAAGATCAAGAAGTAGACGGGATATAATAACCAAATGAATTTAAAGAAAGAGCTTCTGAAGATAGGAACTCGATTTATCTTTCTCAGGGCAGATCACATTTTTAGGCTCTCGGGAATTTAGTAATGAATCTTCGCGTGCCATAAAAGTTTAGAATTACTTTACTAGTTTAGAGACTACTGGCTTCTTAATGAGAGCCCTGTCCTGAGCAACTGGTTTCAGGAAACAGGACGTTCAAATCTTCACTTTGTATACGTTCTGATTTGCTAATATAAACTTTTTCTAGTTTAGTTTCTAAGCCTTACAAGGAGATACCACAAGTACTTCTCAACTTCGGTTCAACAGATGCAGAGAGTGTCACGATGAGAGATAACATCAAAAATCAGCAACAAACATGCCACTACATTCAATTCTCAAAGAGAATATATCTCACCACAGCATTTCTTCCTCTCCACACATTTTACAAACTAGAACATTTTATATACGTACAAAACATACTCACGATTATTTTGAAATTCCTTTGCGTCGTCAGTATTGACGCCACAGATGAAACAAATGACACCCAAGAAACGAACGGCGACACCAAAATATCCGACAACTTGCTGACTTTGGCACCTCATTGAGTTTAAATCCAATGGCATGTTGACACGATGGGTGGTCTAACATCCAGGGGCAGGAATAATAACTCTTCAAAAGAATGCAAAACTTCTGCACTAACTTCTGGGTTAGACTTCACAAGTATCAATACGGTCTTTCAGACGTCACTTTCTGTATCATAATTATTTATTGGTTTGCACCAACACTTACACGCAATGCAGTTTTATGTAAATAATAACCTAGTTTGAATTACATTGTATACAAGTTATCTGTTCATATGTGGCTATGTTTCTCTGCGGAAAGGAACAGCTTCGGACCGACCGCAGTATCATATCATCGAATGTCTGCAGGAGTGTTTTGTTTATGAAATGAGTTGCGACTGTGTACTGTGTATGTTACATAAATATTAGCGGTAAAAATTTTCATAGTAGGTAGAAAATATACTTTTAAAAATATAATATCAAATCTGTGTCTGGTTGCTTAAAATATTCAATTCCATTTTAAGGAATATTTCTGCAATTATTCACTAATTAAATTATTTCTATCACCGAAAGCAATCAAATATTTCAATCAAAATTCCTATTTATTCAACACGGGTAAGGATGGCTATAAGAAGATGCATCCCATAAAATCAGTGCCCCGCGTGGGGTACACCGATATCCCAGCAACTAATTTGAAAAAAAAAAATTAATTCACCAGAAAATTATTTTATGATATTTTTTTTTCACAGAAATTATAAAGCATATTCCTTACAAAAGAACACTCTGGCCTAATAAGCTGTATCACCAATGTCCCGATAAGTGTCAAAATTTGCTAAAAATGTTGCAATTCCGTAGCATTTTGATAACACTGGATGAATCCTCTTTGCACTCCACTTCCGAACCACGACTACACGCGATTGACTGTGGAGCACTGGTTAAGTGAAAAGACTTCGCGAATCAGACTCCTGCTTCAAACTAACACTGGCGGTAAAACTATTTTCAGAATCCCCTACTGAACACACTCTACAACGTTCTATAGATACATGCCATAAGCCCCGGCGCTCTCTCTCACACACACACACTTCATGTGACATTAAAACACATGCTTTTATAACCGTACCATCACACAAGATTCAGAGTCATAAATTTATTAATAAAAACATGCGATGTTTTATCTGAAGGTTTTTATTTTTTAAATGAACTAAACAAAGCTCAGTAAATAGCCTCCTGCAGCGCACTGCCAACGTCGGTTCGTATGAATATACTTATGTATCACACGAAAAGACAAGTGTTGAGTCTTCCAGAGATACGCATATCTTGTGCTCTATCCAAGAGGAGACTAACTGTGTGATGCATATGTGAGTCCTTCTCTAAAACATGTGTGACTGGGATGTATTTTGTGTGGGTGGTTGAAAGAAGAAGGGGATAGAGCAGTTTGGTTAGGGCAGTAGTCTGTCTACAGCGCTTTTGTAAATGAGCTGCCGTCCCATGGGGCAGAAGCAACAGTAGTGGGAGGAGGGGTCCCTTTCACTTAAGTGTATGCATATGTTATTCTCTACTCGGTTTTTATTATGTTGCTGGTAGTGGCGGTGGTAGCAAGAGGGAAGGTACTTTCTTTAAGAACTGGAATAGATCACTTTGGAGATTTTGTAATGTTATCATTCGCCGTATTCCACTTAAGGCTATTGCAGAAACTGAAAATAATTTTTCTTAAATCTTGAGACATGTAGACCATTTTCTAGGCAACGACTAGGTGAACACATTTCCGCGACAATGTACACACAGGCAGAAATAGGATAACTTCTGTTGATAAGCAACGAGATGTAAATAAAATAATAGAGGAAGAGATGTTTTCTATGTTGTTCGCGTATATCAATTGCTGGGCAACGGATATGTTTTCTGTAGGTCCGCTCCGAAGCTATATGACTCAACCGACCGTGTGCTGTAGAGCGAGTAAGTGAAGAGCAGATAAGGGTTCAGCTCTGGAGTGCTTACCAGCGTGCAACGGAAGCAGAAAATCTCCAATATTAAGACTGTACCATGAAACGTCTAGTGAAGACATTGCAGAGGAATTACCATTGCGAAGAGCTGTTACGACGAACAGACTAGAGGAAATAGACAGAGAAGACTTAGTGTGAAGTGATTTGTAGTGTGGAAATCAGCAATAGTGTAATAATTATTTGTAGTTACGAACTGTATGTGGTCAATAAACCCAATCATCCAATCCAAACTCCTTCTGTAGTCATTAATACACGTGACACTATAATGATGTGGTATTCAAGAAGAAAAAGAGAGATAAAAAAGGCCCTGAACTTGCAACAGAATCTCACACATCCAGAGTGTGAGGTGGAAGCGACTACTTGCCAAACTGCAGGACGTGTGGTCTAGGGACCTAGATAATAATCAATTACATAGAACGAAACTTCATATTGTGATCAGATTTCAGATGGAATGTTAGTTCTTTATTTATCAGAGCCTTATCTTAAAATAGTTACGTCCATATCTCAAAGGCAAACCGTGTTCCCAGCCCTGTTTGTAAATCTCTGAAGCTGTAGGAACAGTGAGGACGAATAATTTCGTGTACTGAAGATGGGGTATTTCTACTTGCAAGTAAAAACATCTTACTAACAGGGGAGAATTACGTGAAGCTTCCAATTTTAATAACAAATGGCATAAACAAACCTGAACCAATTCCGATGTAAGAATGAACAATTCTCTGTCATGTTTATCTTTTTTCTAAAACTATGGCTGTGTTTTCTTGAACTACAGTTCAAGAGGGTCTTGTTCCCTGTTAACATAATAACCAGAGGCATAAGGAAATCCTTCAACGTCTGAAGCTTCTGTCTAAGGAAAAACTTGAAACTGTTTTCCTAAGCATTCTTCCTTAATGTGATATTTCAGCGCATCTATAAAGAGAGATTGTATAGCTCAACAGGTACTCAAGGGAAAGAGGTTCACTTCCATCTTATCAGTACACTGGCGATGTAACAATCGAATCACAATGCCTTTATCAATGTTGGACTAAAACACTCAACTTATATCCCTCTCTCTACTTTTCTTAAAATGTCATAATATTTGCTACGTATTTAGGGATTTGAATTTCTTAAGGTCAGTGTGAAACAAATTATATTCAGCAGTGACAACATGTGAAAATTTCTGATATTCTACACAATTGTTCTCTTCAGAAAATGCGAAGTTTCCACTACGATATTCGTTGTGCTCAGAGTTATCAGCAAAATGAACATGTCGAGAATTATGAATGACATTTACGTTGTGACGGAATAAGCCATTGTTAGGCAACGGTTAGGTAAACACGGCCTAAAATCAGGAAGAGTGGAGCCAGATCGAACGTCCGTTGCTGAGCAACAGCTGGATAATTAGTTTCCCGCTACGACGAATAGAACCTGCTGAGTAACAGGTCGCTAAACACAAATTCCCGTGACAAATGTTTCCGAGACAACGCATTCATGAAGAACAATAGTGGAACCCTTCGAGGCGGTGGTCTGTGTTCGGCTCTCTCGCAGTTATAAAAGGCAGCTCATTAGTGCATTCAGTGCAGTGATAGAGTCTTCATAGAGATTCGCCAGACAGACGTCGTTAAGGAGGAGTTCAATGTGTGAGCTCTTATAATTGTAAAGAAGTATCAATAAATCCAATCATCAAAACCAGAATTCATTATTATTAGTCACGCTAACCCCGAATACGTAACAATACTTAGGCGATGAAATCTATCAATTACAACTTATTTACAGAATAAAATAAAATTATGCTTCCCGTCTTAATTATAAAATATAAATATCCACTCCGATATGTTTCCCAGTGACAATTTTAACTAAATATTCATTAATTCCGTTACTTTCTAACTTTCATATGGATAAATACATTAATTATTATTAGTAATCTCTGGGTGCTGTAACATAAATTAGTCACAACAGACCACAGGATCTCATCAGAGGCAGTTGAAGAAGAAGAGAAATTGCCTTTAAATTATAAGTTAGCTTTCTAAAACTTTATTCAGAAGAAGATAATGTGCAAGAAAGCAGCCTAAATCTGAAGCCAACATACGCACTCACATTTAAGTAGCTCTAAGAAGCATAGTCCTTGAGCAACTGAAAGTTGCTCTGCCAATCAAGGATATACTACGCGCCTATTATGAACCAGAAAGTTCATAGCTATGTTGACAAGATCCCTCTACTGGAATTTATCCTAAGCGAGATGAATACAGTACAGCCCACGCTTTCCTGTTTTTTGAGGCATATTTTAATATTATCCTCTAACTTTTACGTAGATTTCTTAAATTTTTTCTTCCTTTCACGATTTCCGGCTAACGTTTCCATTGAAGAGTTCTATCTCCTGGGATATAACGCCATATAATCCGTTAAAAATATACCGAAGTTTCGGAAGAACCTATCGCCACCATGGTCGAAGAATGAGAGGAGCAGAGACAGCGTGAAAGTAAGTGGAAATCCCAGAAGATGGAACTCATTATAAGAGCGACTGTGAGAACTTCAAGTCTGACGACGTTTGTTTTTTTCTTCAATGTGTGTTTCTTGGACCGAAGAGAGATGAAGTGACAGGAGGATGAAGAAAACTGCATAATGAGGAGCTTCATAACTTGTACTCTTCTCCAAGTATAATTAGAATGATCAAGTCTAGGAGTATGAGGTGGGCAGGGCATGTAGCACAAATAGAGGAGATGAGGAATGCGTATAGGATATTGGTGGGAAAGCCATATGGAAATAGCCCACTGGGAAGAAGAAGACGTAGGCGCGTGGACAATATTAAAATGGATATTAGAGATATAGGTTGGGATGGACTGGATAGATCTGGACCGGGATAGGGACCAGTGGAGGGCTCTTGTGAACACGGTAATGAACCTTCGGGTTCCATAAAATGCTGGTAAATTCTTGAGTAGCTGCAGAATTGGCAGATCCTCCAGAAGGGCTTTGCTCCATGAGTAAGTAAGTAAGTAAGTAAGTGTGTTTCTTGGACATATTAGAATAACGCCTGGCAGGGAAAGACCCAACCTGCTTCAGGGGATTGAGTGTAAGGAATGTTAAGTTTGCTGTGTATATACAGGGTGATTCACGAAGTTTTACCCCGGCTTATGGTACATATTCCTGGGGCTATTTCCTGCAAAATTTCCTTATAAACTTTTGGTCGATTTTCAATAGTTACGGAGTAACAATAGATTTTCGAAACGCATCATTGTGAATGCAGCGCTATGCTTCAGCGTGGGCGACCATACGTTCCAGTCAGCTATGTCAGCAGATAAGTTCGACCGGTTTTAATGTTGCGCGTAGGTAGATAGGCAGAGCGGTTCATACGAGTGCGACGCATTGTGTTGACGTGCAGGGAGACATTTTTGAAAATCTTATGTAAATCTAGTCGTCTTCTAAAGCACTACAGTTTAAAGGAAACAGATTGATAGAAGGGTATGATATATAACCATTGGTATGTTTACAGAATGGGATGCTGAAAATAATGTAATTTTGTAACACAAAATCGACGAAAAATGTTGCACAATGCAAAATTAAGAAATTAAAAGAAATGGTTTTAGAATTCTTCTTTCCTAAAACATTAACGATTTAAAAAGTGTTTTTATTTTATTTCTTATTTGTTTTGACTGAAATTCGAAGAGAAAAAGATTTTTCGCCAGTTTTCAAATTACTGTATCTCTTTAATTATGAGTTGGATACCATTAGTATATTAACATCTTTTGTTCCAAATTGCCTCAGGAATGCCCTCCCTTAGTAGGGGTAAAACTTTGTGAATCACCCTGTATTGTGTGTAATCTATTTGCTGAAGTATAATTCTTAAACTGACAAGTCGTTTATTTATATTCGTAAGCTCAATTCGAGGAAAGCATATTGGAAGTGTATTTACATCTTCATGTAAGATGCGGTTTACTTCAGTACGAATAATTCACTTCATAATAACCTATACCTAGAACCCCACAAATCACAGCCAGGCATATTTCGACTAAGCGAAATGGTTGAGACACACTCATTCCTTCCATTTCCCTGTTTGTTTTCCTGCCAAAATTTGAAGGCTTAAGCCAAGAGGAAGAGGGAGAAGAATTCTGAATGAAGAACAAAATACGAACTAAAAGAAATCAAAGGAAGTGGGGTAAATATATAGAATTAACAGAGACGTGATGTGCAACAACGGCTTAAACAGCAGGAATTTCCTTGTCACAGTTGATATAATTTGTAAAATGGTTTCTGTCCCGTTGTTTCTAAACCCATTCAGAAGTGATTCTTACTGTAACTTGAATGAGACACCTCTACAACACT